CACACACTTCTCCGCCTCATTCTGTTTTCATTTACTCGTTCGTTATCTGACCAGCTTCAATCTTGTAGGCTACTCACTTCGTTTCTTGTAGCCCTCTAAAGGGTTTTGGAGGTTGATGCCTCGTGAACGTGAGTTGTTTGGCTTTCTTGTCCGCAGCAGCAGAAAGCATTTTCGAATGTTTGAATGAATCAAAGTGGTCGCCACCGTCGATTTTCTCGTATGCTGCAACACACAGTTGCACGGGGTGCAGAATAGTTTCCCCCCACTTTTTGCCCGGTCTTTAGTAGAAATGTTCGTTGGTAAATGAGCTCTATACAGTGTTGTTTACATTCTGTGATGCGCGAGCTGATGACGTCACTTCTAGACGAGTTAACTTTTTTTTCTTCTCAACTTCGTGTGGAAAAATAGGGGGATTATGAGGCCTTTTGATAAATATGCGGCTTTTGAAAAAACTGCGCCATTTTGCTGATTATGCGGTAAATTCTGCGATCGCAGAATCGCGTTTTTCTGGAGGGTCTAATATAAAATAAAATATAAAAATAAAAATAAAAAATAGTGCAAGAAGTCTATAAAGGTCAATAGAATATCATTTATACAATAGCAGAATGTAAAATTAAATATTGTAAAGTAAGATGAAATGAAATAAGGTTTATTGCGGTGATAACTATTTAGATAAATAAGTAAATTGCAAGATGACAAACAGATGAATGTTTATCGAGGCACTTAACAGAGCAGACTGTATTGATATTGGAATGTGGACATTACACGGATGTTTGCTGACTAATATAGATTATTCTTGGGGATTGTAGTCCAGTGTAGACAATATCATTTCCAAGTAATATAGAGATGCTTGTAAGACCTGAAAACTAAAAGTAATACAGGTTTAGGTTATTGTTTAAAAAAAATAAGACTTTTCGAGAAATAAACTATTTGTTTACATTTTAGCACTTCTCTTCGTTTATTTCTATTCTTTTACTTCTCTTATGTGTAAGGCCTTGTCTTTTATGCTGCTGCAACGCAAAAAAAACTGTTAAATAGGCTTAGTCTTCTTTTAAATTGCCCTTCATTCCCTAATTTCTACCTTTCTGAGAAGCATTTTGTCCGCCCGTCTCTTTGAAGAGAGCCTGGATGTTGTTGTTCAGGCTGGACTCCAAAGTCGAGGGACGACCAGCTTAAAAAACAAGATCATACATGTTGTTGTTGTTATGTTATCCTCCACAGTCAAGTTCACATTCTCCTACACTGAGTTTCAACCAGCGGAACAGGTTTGATTTGTTTTTGGAGGGAATTAAAAAGCACTTACTGGTAGAATCCATGTTGTCTGCTTCTCAGACTCTCGCGAAACAGGTCGTCCCAACCAGAGCAAATGAGGAAAACTGAAAGAAAACTGTCTTGTTTACACTAATAGTTTACTCAACAATAACAATAACTGTCTATCTGCAGCCGAATGAGTGACAGAACTGTAAGTGATCTGCAGACAGCAGAAACATCAGCTTAACCAACATTAATGATAAAAAACACTTGCAACCAATCAGAAGAAACACAAGCAGAACAACCTAAATCAAACTGTCAGAGCTTACCATTGAAGCTTTCTACTTTAATTAATGTCTTCCTCTGCTGCTACCTGTGCTGGAAATGACGTGGTCAAGCCTGGTAGTTTCAAGTGAGACAGGGTGAGAGGAGGAGGAAGTTCAGAAGAGGGAAGTCCCTGTCTAGACTGCAAAAGCCAAAAAAAATGAACACAACTGCATTAAGAAGGATTTTATTTTTGAAATGTGGCGAGATATAAACACACAATGAAATCACTTCAAAATAAATAGCTTATTTTTCAACACATATTTTGACTCAGCAGGAAGTACACAGTGGTAATCAAGTAATCAGTTTAATGCTCCTGACAGCAGATTATTGGCATTCATTTTCTATTTTTACAAACAAGAGCAACTACGGGAATCAAACTAGATTGAAAATAAACATTTCTGGAAACAGTCCAACACGCGTCCTTTTGATCAAGATGTGACACACCTGTATATCATCTACAGATAAACCTGAAATGTGAGTTCTTTAATACATGTATTTGTACAGTGCTACTTCATAAAGTGGTGCAGGAAGGAGTCCTAAAACCAAGAAATTAGTCAGCATTTTAGGAATTTATGTTATCGCTCATCTGGAAGTCAATTATGTTTTTGGTTGTTAGCCTGAAATAAGGTCTGTGGCTACCTGTTACAAGCTGAAGATATTTTTGTTCTACAACATAAAATACATCACTAAATACCACGTTGGTGAATTTAAAAATGGCGGTTGCTAACAAGTGTCTAAATGAGACGAATAAATGTCATCACGCCCAACATTAGCCGCCTTTAGCTTAGCGGTGGTGACGTGAAGTCATGTGACCGTGCTGTAGTTCCTTTATAGCCCAACATTAGCCACCTTTAGCTTAGCGGTGGTGACGTGAAGTCATGTGACCGTGCTGTAGTTCCTTTATTTATAGCCCAACATTAGCCAAAATCCAATTGAAAAATCCCATTGGCTTTTTGTCGAGTGAACCAGGTGGATGCTAACTTTCAGATCGTCCTATAAAAATACCTCATCCCTGCACCACTTGAATCTCTTTTATCTACACAGTCTCTTTATTCCGCATCCAGCATTGCTTCAGTTTTAAGAATCCGTGGATTGTCTCAGACTGAGTGTTTTCAGGGCGGAGAGGCAGAGAAGGAGGTGAGGGGGAGGCAGAGCAGGGAGCAGTAGGACGGGTGCAGAGGCTGGACCTGACCCGGAGACGGTTTATAGGATCTCCAGTCTGAACCACTTCCTGATTTAGAGCACAGAGACACCTCACACCTGCAGGTACAGAATAAATAATGATTAACACATGCACAGGTGCAGAACATTAGGCTGTGAAATTCAAATGTAATATTTGCTTTAACACATAATTTCCACCACATTTAGCCATTATCTTATGTTTGACCTCTGGGGCAAATCAATGCTGTTCTCCTGGTTTCTATGAGAGGCATATTAGCTGTTTTACTGCATGAAAATCAATGTTGCTGCTCATCATTGACATATCCCAGACTGTGAGGAAAAATAAATTCAGCTTAGCATTTAGTACACAGAAAGTTGCATTCTTTAAAGATGATGATAACTGAAAAGTAATGAAGGGAAGTTTTCTACACTTTTGTATTGGTACTTATTATTGTGTTAAGGTTTATGATGTACCTGGTGACACTTTGGATGAACTTCTTCTCGTCCTGATCCAGACACACAGCGAAAGTCGTTCCATCTTCTCTTCCATGAACCTGCACCTTATCCGCCTTCACCTCGGAGACACAGATGTGCTGCAAGCGGAGAAAAGAGGTCTCATATTCATGTTGGTGAGATCTTCATAGTATCAAGTGAATACTTAAAACAAAAGGTAATTATAAATCAAATATGATCAATCATATTCTTGTATAGACCCATAATGAGAACGCTTCTTGATGGTTTTTGAATATGTACGGTAAGCTTACAATTTTAGTTGTTGCTGTTTTGATAACTTTGCGTTTTAAAGAGGGTGTTGAGATCTTCATAGTATCAAGTGAATACTTAAAACGAAAGTTAGTTATAATCAAATATAATCAATTACCGTAATTTTCGGACTACAAGGCGCACCTGAATATAAGCCGCAGCAGCTAAATTGAATGATGTGTACATATATAAGCCGCACTGGACTATAAGCCGCAGGTGTTTTAATGTTTCATTACCATATGTAAGGGTTCGTGCAC